TCCAACTATTTCAGACACAAAAGTAAATCTCTTAAAGACAAATTTAAAATTAAAAAAAAAATCAACACAAACACCCAAAACAAAATAATTTAAGTAGTTCATAACCATATGCAAAGAACAAAACAAAAGCTACAATAAAAAATACAAAAGTATCGTACAAAAACCTGACTAAATAATTTCCCGAACAATACGACCACAAAAATTAAATTTCATAAAGGGGGAGGAAGGTATAACAAAAGTAAGTATAAAACCATTACAAAATATAAACTCATTTTTCAAAATAGAAAATAAATTATTGCAAATAAAGATTTTCCATATTTAAAACTAACAAAAACCAAATGCTGTTTTATTTAACAATTTTAAAAACTCATTGCCCCATCCAAAAACATTAGGCTATCAACGGCAGCTATGGCCAAATCAACATCACGTTTTTGCACTGTCTTTTTCTTGGCTTGGGCGGTAAAGGTATACGATTCCACACCCAGTGATTGTATAAATAGTTCTGTGGCTCGTGTTACCAAAAATACAGCTTCATTGGAGGCAATATGTAAATCAGGATCCAATTTCATGATATTTCTCACCCTTGTCAAAGGCAATTGAAAGAGTCGCGCCTCACTGCTGACATTTGTTGTTTTGGTCTTGCTGGCTGGAACATCATAAAACTTTAGATTAATATTTTTAATCACAAATTATGAATGATTTATTGTACATTGTGTTTGATCCTCCTCAGTGTTTGTTGTGACCGGCACACTTTCATCCGGGGTCGTCGATTCCTCTTCAACAACATTGTCCTCCTCGGTTTCCTTGCCGCCAATGTCTTCTTGTTCAACAATGTCCGCCTCCTGAACATAATCTTGTTCTAATTCAGAAATAATTTCTTCGGAGAAGTCTTCGGCAAATAAATCCTCGCTAGCCATTTTTGTTGGGAAATTTATGGAATTATTAGTAATAAACACAAAAACAGAAGCGGCATTCAACAGAGTTGTTAGAGTACTATAAATCGAAAATGGGTGAGAAGTAGAGCTCTCAAATTCGAATGCATAGTGATGTTCGAATGTATAAAGGCGGTTCAGATGACAGCGAAGCCAGGCACTGTGTTTTTGCATCATATGAAAGGAAACTATAGATCGAAAACTGTGAAGATGGGTATTAAAGTTATGATACATGTATTGTGTTCTGGTAGAAGTATAACTAGTAAAAAAGAGAAATCTTACATTCGCTCTGAGAGAACTACTTTGACAATATAGTACAGGAATGGAAAACTTGTAAATATGTCTGAATTCTTCAAAATAACCAATTCATTCAATTAAAAACTGAAAACCATGCTAATATTTTTTACTCACGGAGTGAAAAATGAAAAAGAGAACACCATCCTTAAGGTGCAAGTACAATAAAAGCTTGAAGTCATGGCTAGACATATTAATGGAAAACGTCGGCTGGATTTTAGTGCGGCTATGTAATCTCTTTATGAAATGTCACAAAATATGCCTAGCTTTGACTTCAAGCTTCTTATATACTTACACCCTTATGTGTGCTTTCTTCATTTCGATTTTTCTTAGGGTTTTGTGTTCAAGAACGTAAAAATTTAAAATTTTTGACATATCAATATTGGCAATTGCTATATTCTTTTGTCTCTGACGCTTTGAAGTCGGTGTATAATAAATAATTATATTTTTATTACTACTTTATACGATACGATAAAATATGATTTTAATTTTTTTATTTTCTTGGCTTAATATGTCAACTTTATTTGTTTATGTGCGTGTATTCTTTCAATAATAAAAAAAATAAAAAAATGAAAATATTCAAATTTGGGTGTTTTCAAAACGCTTATTTTTCGAAACTAGCCTACCTTATCTTCATTGTACCATGGGTTTAAATATTTTTCTTGTTGAGCTATACATGCGATTTCCCAGCAACTTGATTATTGATGCTAAATGTAGCGTAATCGACTAGCCGATAGTCGACTTAGGTATCTCTAAATTGAAAACAATAGAGTAGTGTTGGAAAATGCAGTTAATTTCGCCCAGGACTACACCTAGTTAAATTGTTCGGATCTAAATCGTTCTTCGAGTTTTAATGCTTTACTACACACACAATAAAAAAGAAAAATATTCAAGTAAATGAAAACAAAAACAACATAAAAATTTTCATGTAGAAATATCAATTGAACTAGTTCGTTCGTGAACTAGGCAACACTACTTGATGCGCTCCTTTCAATGAATCGTTCAATCGAACTTGTTCATTCGTGAACTATACAACACTAAACTATACGACACTACAACAGAGGAAAAAGGAAGAAAATCTAAGAAATCTTTTATCCGAGAGAAAGTGAAAGTGTAGTCCTCCAAAATTTTCAATTAATACATTTAATTACTTTAAAAAAAAATCAGAAAAAATAACATCAAATTAATTATAAAGAGCTGCGTGAAACAAGGAAGGCCGAATATTTTTGTTGTCAAACAATTTTTTTCAGAAATGTATGTTGGCGTCTGAGTTTTTTTGTTCGTTTTTTTTTCGCTTTAATCTATTGAGGAGAGGGTACAAGAGTGATATTTGTGGGAAAATTGCACAAAATTGTTTTGTTGAGTCGGAGTGTAATTAAAGAAACAACTTTCTTCGTTGTTGTTTTTGTTTTTAATTTCAGCGTATATTTCAAAATTGAAAAAAAAGATTAGAGGAACATTTAATTTGAAAGTGTAACATAGAAAAAGTGAAAAAGACAAATCATGGCCAATACCTACGAGGGTAATGGCGACTACTCGACAGGACCACACAATGGTGATAACCATGGTGGTGGTGGCGGTGTTGCTAGTGTAAATGAACAGCATCATGGTGTTAGTTCCAGCATGGGTCCCATTGATACAAATTATCTCAATGAAAAGGCTAATGAATATGTTCGAGACTGCCTTAATGAAAAATCACGAATGGATCGCAAATTCCCCATAGCCGAAAAGCTATTGGATGCAGGTGGGTTTTGAAGGAATAAAAATTATGTGTTTAGGTGTGGATAATAATTCTGTTTTTTTTCTTTGTTTTTCTTAGAAATTGAAAAGGTGCAAACAACTGGTCGTCTACCGTCTAAGGAACAAAAATATGCTGATATTTATCGAGAAAAGCCGCTAAGAGTGTCGCAAAAGGTTTTGGTACCCATACGGGAACATCCAAAGGTAATTTTGTAAGGGGAAGGTATACCTATTGAAAGTTGGGAAGAAAGTCTTAGTCAATCTTTATGAAAACTTTCACCCAATTTTTAGATAGGACTTAAAGATTTCTTTCAAATTTGTTTTAAGCCCCAAATAGTTTTCAGGAAAATTAAAAATATTAGAGAATATATTCCTATTTGACTTGTTTTCTCACCATTCTCATCTTTTATTTGCAGTTCAATTTCGTTGGCAAATTACTGGGACCCAAGGGCAACTCCTTGCGCCGCCTGCAGGAGGAGACAATGTGTAAAATGACCGTACTGGGACGTAATTCAATGCGTGATCGTGTCAAAGAAGAAGAGCTCCGTAAATCCAAGGATCCGAAATATTCTCATTTGAATAGTGATTTACATGTGGAAATCTCCACGGTGGCACCACCAGCCGAGGCATATGCTCGCATTGCTTATGCCATGGCTGAATTGCGTAAATATCTAATACCGGATAGTAATGATGTTATACGTCAGGAACAATTGCGTGAACTAATGGATAGTACCCACATAACGGAGGAACAAAAATCGACAGGCTATAAGAAAATCATACCACATACTCCTTCGGCTGGTGGTGGTGGTGGCGGCGGAATATTAACTGGTCCTGGCAGTGTTATTACATCAAATCTAACAAAGAATATGGTACCATATAATAAGTCTGGTGGCGGAGGAGGTGGAGGTGGTGGTCAAGGTGGACCAAACAGTGTAGCCTCGGCCGCCTCGGCATACAACAAAAACAATACAGCACCAAAACAAAAGGTTATGTCTATATTGGAAAAAGCCCGTTCGGCAATGGAGGAGACATATGGGTAAGTTGAACTCCTTGCTTCGTGAGAAAAGGGTTTTAGATTTCTGGAAATGCCTTAAAAGGTTTATAAGCAAAGAAAACTCTGAGAGGTGGTTTAGACCATTTCCACTTTTTCCAGACCCTTAAATTTGAAAGATCGTTTAGGCTTTTGATCCAGATCTCCTTCAAAGGAATCGCAAAGGAAGGCCAGCTACACCTTTTCTGAAACTCAAAAAGGTTTCGAAGATCAGCTAGAAATTTCAAAGATTTTTTTAGGCGGGTCTTTCTAACATTAATCATTTTTCGATCTTTTAACCTAGTAGAACTATTATTGCTTTGTCATTTACAAGTATTTCTATGCCAATGAAATATCTTTCACATTTTTGGATATTAACGTTTAAGTATTTGTCCTTTTTTGTTTTTCTTTTCCTTAGACGCGGCTATGAAGATAACCAGGGTTTCGATCATTTACAACCAAGCTATGATGCCCCCTATTCATCATATCCCCAACAAGCACAATCGGCACATAATCACAATCCCCATGTACCACAAACTCCTGGCATGGCGATGAACCATTTAAACACTGGACGGGGACCCTATGACACAACCAGCACTGATTATGAGACAAATGATTATAGCAGACGTGGCGGCGGAGGAGGTGGTGGTGCAGGGGATTACTATCAAAATCCCACAACAGCATATGGCGGTGACTATTTTAAATTTCCTCTCTTTTCTCAATACAATAAATTGGTAAATGTTTAAATTCTTTTTTTGATCCATAAAAAACAGCAGCTGCTGGTATCCAGCCAAATAATGGCGGCCTAAATCCGAATCAAACACAAAATCGCAGTCACGTTAATAGGTGAAATTTATTTGTAACAACAAACAACCACTTACAACAACAACAGAAAACACAACAGCAACAACAACAACAGCAGCAGCAGCAGCATACAAATGCCAATAACACTGTTATTTCGAATACACGTTGTCCTACGATTTCCTCTTCCAACACATCCAATCCTACTATGAAACCGGGAAACTTACCTCATCAGCTAAACGATCCCCATGATTCCCTTGGAGGAGCCGGCGTTGTAACAGAAAATGGCAATGGCGTTGAGTTAAACAATAATAATTATTTGTACAAATCCTCCATGAATACGCATCAGGCGGCGGCTGGCAAAGCATTTCCACCAACCACCAATCAACAACGGCAGCAATTGGAAACAGTAGCACTTAAAAATTTAACCAATGGTCCCAACAATCCGACACAGCCCACACCCCAACCAGCACCATTAGCATCATCACCATCAACAACTTCCACACATGTTATGACAATACCAACACAAAATTTCCCACCGTCTTCAGATGCTCTCAATAATAATAATAACAACAACAACAAAAATAGTATGAACAGTAACAATGATAATCAAAATGAGATTTTAAATAATAAAACCACAACAATAACAAATGCTACAGTAGCACCTACACTGTACAACAACAACAATCTGCTAAATACAACAATTACAGGATTCAATGGCCATCAACAGCATTATAATCATCATCATCAGAATACTACAGCAACAAATAATAACAACAACAACAACAATAAAACAGCAACATTATTACCACCAATACATCCAACCACCATACCAATGGCATCGTCGTCGTCCGATCAGCAACAACATCAACGTACGGCAGCAACCAATAGCCTATTGTTTGTAAGGTATTAACAACAACAACAACATATATCACAAAACACTTTAAGACATCTAATAATTTAATTTTTTTATTATTTTTTTTTAAATGAAACAAAACTAAATTTTATGTCCTTTGGGGTTATTTAAAAATTTGCCTCAGCATTTTGTTAATAAGTCCCACAGACCTCGAAGCAAAAAAAGAAAGAAACGATCTTTTAATAGAAAATCAGAGAGACTTATCACAGGAAATTTGGAAATCTTGTTAGAAGGCCAAAATGTCTTCGGCCCAGCAACCTTTTAATAATCCTAAATTCTTAAAACAAAAAAAAAAAAAAAACAAAAAAAAAATAAAGGTTGTGTCCTTTATCACATTCTTCCGCATAAAAAAACACCAAAGGATCCTTTGATACATGTTCAGAAAGACTTGCCACAGAAGACCAGGAAATCTTGTTAGAAGACCAGAATGTCTTCGGACACCAAATATGATGGAAGACAAAAATACTCTTTTTTTAAAACAAAAATTAACCAGATCAAAATGTATTTAGAATACCTTCATCTGGCATTTCATATGAAACCTCACCTGTCCTTCTTTGGAGACCAAGAAGTCTTTTTAGAAAATACCACGATGTCTTCTCTTAAAAGTTGTGGGGAGGCTGATCATGACCTTTTTTATAAAATCTTTTTATACCCTCCACCATAGTACGTTTGTCATTCCGTTTGTAACACCTCGAAATATACATTTTGAGACCCCATAAAGAATATAGAGGGTGAGATAAAAAAACTGCAACAAAGTCAAACGCCATAATTTTTAAAATTTTATTGAATGAAAGAAAAAAATGTCGGAAATAGCATCAAACTTTAGAATAAGTTTAGATTTGTTCGAATTGGTTACCTTTGGCACGAATTACCTTCACACGCTGCCCGAATGTTACCTGCAGTATTTTGGCCCATTCCCGGCGAAGCACTTGCTTGTGGTGATCGACACTTTGGTATTTTTTAGTGCCAACCTTGCTTTCCAAAATACTCCAGACACAATAGACCAACGGATTGGTATCCGGAGGTTCCTATTTTGTAATCATTCTTGGATGGCACGTGCTGAGTCCTGTTGGAATGTCCAGTGTCTGCGGCCAAAATGTTTGGGTGCCCAATGCTTTAATGCGCCCTCCAGAATATTGTCGCGACAATATTCGGCATTTATTTTGAAGCCGCGGTTGATTAATACGAGCGGAGAGCGATTATCGACTGTTATGGCGGCCCACACTATCACCATGGCCGGCGCTTGAGTTCTGGTGGCCAACCGAAGGTGCACATTTTCAGCTAACCTCTTTGGCAAGAAAACCCGATCGCTTTGTTTGTTTACAAACTGTTGGACAACAAATGTTTTCTCATCGGAGAAAACCAAATTCGGCAGTTCACCACTTTCGGCCAAGCGAAGCAACGCTTTAGCTCTTTTGAGTCTATATTCTTTCTGTTTTGCGGTGTAAGTTCTTGGACTTTTTGGAATTTCAATGGCTTTACCCCGAGCTCATTTTTCAATATTTGCCAAATGGAATCATTATTCACTGAATTTTTTTTCAAGTTTCGAGAAAAAAATTTCCCATGCAAACCCACGTCGTCGTATAGACCCTAATATAATGGCTACATTCGGTATTTTTAAGATTTGAACAGAATTTTTTAACGGTTTTTTAATTGCCACTTTTGTTCGAAATGGTGGAGGGTATTCAGCCTTTTTACTTGTTTTCTGCTTCCATTGCTTCCTTTTTGCAAAATATCAGAATGTCTTCTCATCGAAATTGTGGGGAGACCGAATATGGCATGTACGAAAGTCTAATGAGGTATGGACAAAGTTTTTCTCTTTTCGACATTCTTTAGAAGGGTTTCTTTTAGAAGGCTCCAAAAAATTGAGGTTATGATCCTAGGGACTTGTTAACTTTTAAATAATCCCAAAGAACAAAACATGACATGACATGCAATACTCAAAACAAAAACAAAAAATGATACTCATTCAAATCTCTTACAGACCTGCAAATCATTCAACAACCACAACAACTTTACATGTTGGTAAACTACCGTTTTTGCCAGTGCAATTTATATGAACTCTCAACAACAACAACAACAAGAACTCTCCTAACAAATCAACAACAAATATCACCACCACAACTACCACCCACCAATCAAACATACTTCTCTCCCTCTTTGTTTCTTTATAAGACAAAAAGAACAACAGCAACAACAACTGAACAAGAAAACAATAATTATAGTAATTTTCATCATTAATTATATTATATACATATATTTTAACTTTAAAAGAAAAAAATTACTTAAAAAAAAGACAAAACATAAAGAGAAAAAAAATCATTAATTTATCACATAAAAAAACCCAATCACACGGTGTTCGGCACAACAACATGGTTCTCAAGGTTTTGAAGGCGTTATTAGTTCCCCCACAAAACAAAAAAGGAAAAAAAGAAAATATAGAAACAAAAGGAAATCAAAAAATTTTAATGAAAATATGATATTTTTTAAAAAATATTTCAAAATTATTTGAACACTAAAAAAATTATGAAAGAAAAGAAGAGATTTCAAATTTCATCAAAAACAACATTTGCTTTAATTTCGAAAATTAAAAACAAACGGAAAAAAGAAGAAAAAATCGAAACCTTGGCATGGATTATGCCGTCCCTGTGTTACCTAAGGCTCAAAGTCTTATAAATACAAAACAAAAATAACAAGAAAACACACTTATAAAAAATTAAGAATTATTAAAACAAAAGACGAAGATTACAAAAAAAGGGATACAATTCAAAATGAACATTTAACTAAACTAAAAAAAAAAACAAAACAACATAAATAACTCTTTAACTTTAAAAAGAAAATAATATTTACTAAAATAAACTATAATGACTTTAAACATATACATATATATATATTTACAAACAATATTTAATTATTGTCAAAAGAAATTAAAATGAAAGAATATAAAATACAAATACTTAAAAAAAAACCAACAACATTACAAAAATAATTCTATGAAATTTTCAAAAATATTAATAAAAAATAAAATAAAATAAAACAATGGATAATTATATTTAAAAAACAAACGTTAATACGTTACAAAAAATTAAAACTTTAATACACAAATCTAAAAAACGAAAACAGTAACACAAAAAAAAAACTTTAAAATGAGTTATATTCCATAACAACAACAAATAATCTCTATATATTTAAATCATAACAAGAAAATAAAGTATTTTTAAGAAAAAAACAAAACAAAAAAATATAATTATGCTAAAAAATCCAACAAACTTTAAAAATATATATTTATTAAAACAACAACAAAAACAAATACATATAATGAACAAACAGAGGGAAAACCAATATAAACGTACAATATCACAAAAAAACGGGCACATAAATGAAATAAACTAAAAAAAAGAACAGAGAATTAAAACTAAATGACAAAAGAAAAAAACATTTTTAAAAACAAATAATGACTCGAGAAACTAACAACAACAACATATTTTCAAATGTTACTCTAAAAATACGGATAATAATGAATGAGAATCGAAACCACAACAAAAACAAACAAACAACAAGAAGGAAACACATAATTACTTTATAAAACTATGACAAACAGAAAGAAAATAAACAAACAAATTAAAACAAACATCAAATTAATATACACATATATATTTATATGAACATACTTATGCGAAACAAATGAAAAAAAAAAAAAACAAATTATTAAATATGCAATATATCTAAATGTTATAATAAAAAAACAACAACAAAAACAAAATAATGAATCAACAATAACAAAATTAATAATTATAAATTATAAAATAAAAACACACACACAAAATATAATTGTCCAAATAAAAGTCAATATTCGCCTATGAAAAATATTGGAGTTTTATTTATTTCAACAGACAACAATTGTTTTACTTAACCTCAAAGTCAATAAATATTGATCTTCGTAATATTAATTGAAGAAACATGGTTTTAGACTATGAAATGTAAGGTGAGAATACATAAAACGCTTTTTTGACTGGCTTAATTCATCGGCTGGCTTTTTTTGGAAAAGTATAAAGGAGCTTAGGGCCAATATCGAACTAAGTCAACCTAAAATTCCTATGTTCGTAAAAAAAACGGTTTATGTATTCTCGCCTTTATCCCATGTTTATGCTAGACTTTTGTATTGTTAACGCACTTAAAAATGGATTTATTTGACGTATAAGTAATGGATATGTCAATTTTACTCCAAATACAGTGGCTTAACTAAACACTTTATATGTAAACGTATTGTTACCATCATTTTGAAGCAGAAAAGTGTTAGTGGATAAAAATGGTAATGCCATGTTTTTCAAAAAATCCGCCATCAATTCTCTTGGATTCTGACTGGGAATATTCTCCCAAGGACGAAATTTTGGAAGTTGTTATAAAATTGTCTACAACGAGTACATTACCCTTTCATTTGTCATTGCTTGAGTTTTCCAATTGGGTAGTTCACAATATTGATTGAAGTACAGATCTAGAGGTTATCGGTCATTCCGTTGCCGGTTTACTTACTCCTTACTTCTCAAGTTAGGGTTTCTTTTTTGGATGCAAAGCGCCATTCAAAGAAGGAAAAAGGTATTTAACGGCTGCAAACACTCTTCTTCTTTGTCTTACGATTTTAAACCATTCACAATGAAATGCTAACAGAAAAATGGTTTTTGTTCACAATCCTTTTTAATTGGTTTTTAAGAAAGCAAAATAAGTTGGCGTATTTAATTTTGTACTGAATATAAGATTCTGGCCTGCACGAGGTAGAACACTTTTTTGTTTGCCTCAAAGTGCCACACAAAAGTAAAGAAATGTGTTTAAACGCTAAAATACACTCCTTCTTCTACATCTCGAGGAACCATTCACAATGGAATGCTAGCACAAATATGTATTTGTACACCGTCTCATTAAAGCAGCTCTTAAAAAGCAAAATAAGTTTGCCTGCAGTAGAACATTCTGAATATAAATAAAAAAAATTATAATAAATACTTCTTCCTTTCTCAAGGGTAATTTTTTTTTTTTGGCCACAAAGCGCCACACAAAAAAGAAACATGTTTAACGGCTAAAATACACTCCTTTTTGTTTTTCTTACCATTTGAAGCACTCACAATGAAATGCTAACACAAAAACGCTTTTTTTCACCGTTAAAACGACCCCAAAAATTTAAATTTTTTTTGTTTTTTGTGGTAAATTCTGTATACAATAGAAAATTTTAATGAAAACAGTGGAATAATAGTATATTTTTTGGCCACAAAGCGCCACTCCAAAAAGGAATAAAGTTGTTAAACGGCTGAAATGTACTCACCTTCTTTTTCTAACCATTTGAAAGCACTCACAATGAAATGCCGACACAAAATGGATTTTGTTCGCCATCCAGTTAAAACGGAATAAGTTTTTGTAGTAAATTTTGTATTTAATAGACAATTTAAATAAAAATAGTATAATAATAATAAGATCCTGTTTGGTTTCAGAGCTCCACTCAAAAGAGTAAGAATGTTATTTAACGGCTGAAATACACTCACCTTCTTTTTCTAACTATTTGAAAACACTCACCATGAATTACTAACCCAAAAATGGGTTTTGTGCAACTGTATGGTGGTCGTTACTTTTGTTTTGATTTCTAGTTTTATCACATATTCTCGCTTTCGTATTACTTCTCAATTTCTACGCCGTTAGTTTTTCTCATAGTAACCTTGTAATCTTGTTGAATCATTGCTGTTGTTCAGGAGTAGCTGATGTCCTCCCATTGGACTGAGATTTGCCTTGCAGACAACAATGAACAATAAAAATTCTTGCGTTGAGACGCCAGCTGCCCCCGAATGGCTATCGAAATTAGAGGATAGACGTGAAAAATTAAAATGCTCCAAACTGGGACATGAAGTGGGTGCTGGCGCTCCATGCAGTGTTTGTGAAGACAAGTGTCCCGGTCTGGATTTACATTTTTGGCGTAAGGTCTGTCGCAATTGTAAATGTCGCAAGGATCAGCATATGTGTCAGGACGATGACACATCTGGATGGGCACAATTCGAAATACTTGGCCAGATACGTTCCAAGCCGGCATGTAAGTGGAAGAGAGGATATTTTCGCCTCCGTAGGGTCATTATTAAAAAAAAAATAAATAAGAGAGATGGTTCGAGATGAAAGAGCCTTCAAATAGTAACGATTTATGGAAGGGACATTAAGTCCAAAAAAATCCAAAAATCACATTTTAGTTCTATTTTAGGAGCCCTAATACCCACAGAATTTTAATTCCCTTTTAATTTTTGTTTTTCAGTCATCAAAATAAAAACCTTGGCAAGTCAACCCGTCAAAGTAGACTGGGTGCCGCCGAATGTCTCTCCAGACGTGGTTGCTGATTATTTGGAAAAGTTAGGCAGTAAAAATGTACCAGTTGCTGGTAGTGAAGCGGCAGCCAAACGTAAACAACAACTCGAATTCCAAGTACCACCACACGATTTAGATGCTGAATTCTGTGACAATCTCACCGAAGCCGAATCCAATCAATTGCAACAATATGTCCAGAAAATCCGAGAAAATTGTGTTGGCCAGGGTAGTGTGGTACGAGTGGGAAATGTTGGCTATGGTACTGTGGCAAATCTTCACAAACCTCCGCTTGTTCAAGAGCTGCCAGCATTTAATGAGGCCAAGTACTGCGAGGTCATGTCGGCGTTGAAAGAACCTCCAGTCTCTGATCCAATTCTAGCCACATTATTGTCCAATGAAAAGCTGGCCAAGGCCATATTAGAGCCGGTCTCATATTCTTATCCGAAGATATTTGTGGCCTTTTCCGAACCATTGGCTGAGGGTCCATTGAAAGAGGCTGCCCTAATTCGTTTACCGGTGGTGGTAAAGGAAAAACTAAACGGCCTCAACGAGGCAGCTGTGGAAAGTTTGGTCCTTAATGGTCCAGTTTATGATAAAATTTTTGGTAGCTTAAAGAACAACAACCTGGATATTTCACGTGATCCACGTTTGGGTCCTTTGGTGGATTTGCGTAAGGAATATTTGACGAATCCGGTGGTGAAAAAGGAATTGGATACCATGGTTTATATGCCAAATTCATCATATAGTTCACCCCTCAAGACACCCTCGAAATTTTTAAACGAATTGGCATTCAACTCGCCTTTACCCCTGAAAACTGCCGCTGGAAAATTGAAATTTGGTGCCCAGTTGTCACAGGACACTCCCATGCGTAAGGTCCACTTTGGCCAACCCATCTCGAGTATTATACAAGACTGTAATTTGCCTGCCAATGTGGACTATGAACGTGATCCGGTATTTGCCAATATCATACATTCCGAGCCGTTGAAACAGGCCATACAAAATGCTAAACACCAGGGCTGCCTTAAACCACCAATACCCATTCAAGTTTTGGTCTCCCCGCTCAGTGGCAGACCTGATATAAAAGAAACTCAGTTGAGTGAGCCAGCAAAGGATAAGCTCCAGGCCATGGGCATAACCCACAAGGATATGCTACAAAGTGCTGTACTTAATGCCCCCTTCTATGAGAGGCTTTTTAAAAATCTCAATGACATGAATATCGAATATGACTCATGTTCACAGTTGAAACCTTTGGAGCAGTTATCGAAACAGTTACGTTTGGATCGTCCCCTCTATGAAGAGGTACGTGAATATGTCACAGCCTTGCCGCGTAGCCTGGACATTGCCTATGCCCCCATAAGCATGAATTTACAGCAGACCATGAGTCCGTCGCGCAGTACAGATTCTGGTTTTGAATCGAAACCATCAACTCCCAGTCATCACGCACAGCACAGTGGTTATGGAGAGTGTGATGTGAATGCCTTGGCCGGGCGACTTACGGCCATTCCTGGCATACAGGATATGAATATGTATCCAACGGTGGCAGCATCTGCCCGAGATCCTCTGAATCCTTTGATGCAAAATCTCAAGTTGCAGGAGAGCTATGACAATAAGGCGACACCGGGTGCTGCAAAACAATTGCTGTGCCGTGATTGTGAAAAGATCATTAACTTTGGCGAAGTCGCCGTCAAGGCGGAAAGGGCTGGCAAAGAAATTGCCTGGCATCCAGAGTGTTTCCGCTGTCACACCTGCCGAGAATTGTTGGCAGATTTGGTTTACTTTTTCCATGGTGGCCAGGTCTATTGTGGCCGAGATTTGGCTGTTAAATTGAAAATACCCCGCTGCAAGGCATGCGATGAATTGATTTTCACCAAGGAATACACGGCCGCCGAGGGGGCTACATTCCACATCAAACATTTTTGCTGCTATCACTGTGATGAACCACTGGCCGGTCAACAATATGTGCCCGACGAAAAGTCGAACATGCCATTGTGCCTCAAATGCTATGACGAATACTTTGCCACCGTCTGTCAATATTGTCACAAAACCATTGGACCCAGCGATAAGGGTGTTTCGTGGACCAACATCCATTGGCATGATTCGTGTTTTGTTTGTGCCGGCAAAATGTGTGCCAAGTCACTGATTGGTGGCCGTTTTTGTGTCAAACAAAATATGCCATTCTGCAGTCCAGCCTGTGTGCGTAGCATGATTGAGTAGACTGATTGAAGGAGCAACCATTTATGATAGTATTAATAAAGAAGAAAAAAGCGAAAAAAAAGTATTTTTTATAAAATATACAATTTTTTATATATCTATTCATATACTTAGTATATATTTTATACGTATTTTTTACATATATACACTATGTATTTTGCGACATAGGATGATAATACGAACACACACAAATGCACAAATGAATTCCATTTACAACCTTTTTTTCTCAAAAACAAATATATATGTATTGTATTAAGCACAAATTAATGATTCGGTGTTTTATTGCAAGGGGCTAAAGATAGGAATCCTGAAAAACCTTTTCAAATTCAAAATCTTTTAAAGGAAACTTAAAAAACATCCGATAATTCATGATTTGAGGTTTTAAAGAAATATTCACAATTGATGATTGGAGCAGTGCATTCCTCCAGCTTTCCATAGTTTCAGCGCAATTCTTGCTGCTTGAAATTGGTATATTTGTCCCACCAGACTTGCCCTCCCAAGTTCTTTATATTTCCCCCATTTTTATACCCTCAGTCATATGGCTATATATGGGTATATATATAATTTGATACGGCCAAAACATGCCTCATTGAAATATCGGTTTTAAACCCTAGGTCTCTTTGGACCAAATTCGTTTCAGGACATTTCGAACCGATCTAGCGATGTCCGTCCTACGTCCGTCTATCTGTCTGGCTGGTGCGTGCGTTAACTCTCGAAGGCGATATCCTATTTGATCCAAACTTGGTACATCATAATATTATTGTCAAACTTAGATTGAGTTCGGAGTTGGGCAATATCGGTCCACTCCTTCTGGTACATCCCCCATAAAAAGTCAAAATTTTTAAAGAAAATAATTTACTGCACGGAAAGTGAAAGGATAATCCGATTTCGCTCCAACTTTGCGAATCCAAATATTTGCATCAGTGCTAGGTCAGGTGCGAAAATGGACAATATCGCATCACTCCATCAAGTACCTCCCACACAAAGGGTGAAAATTTCGGATACATAGAACTCTTGTAAAATGTGACGGAAGTGTCCGTTTGCCTTCAAATTACACACATCACAATATTTTTGTTAACCCAAGGTGTGGTGTAAAGATGGAATGTATCGGTCCACACCATGAGGTACCTTCCCCACAAGGGGTCAAAATTTTGAATATCCATGAAGCTCATAAAACACGAAATTAGCATCCGATTCCATTCGGACTTGGAACATCTCAATATTTCCATTAACACAATTTCTGTTATAAATATGTTAGAGATCGGAGCATTCCTTCTCGTACCTCCCCCACAGAGGGTCGAAGTTTTGAATAACCAAAACGATCATAAAATCGGAAATATGCATCCGGTTCTCTTCAAATTACACACATTACAATATTTTTAATAACTCAAGGTCTGGTGTGAAGATGGAATATATCGGTCCTCTCCTTGTGGTACCTTCCCAACAAAGGGTCAAAATTTGAATATTTATAAAGCTCATAAAACACGAATTTAAGATCAGATTGCATTCAGACTTGGCACATCTTAATATTTCCATCAACACAATATCTGTTGTAAATCTGTTGGTAGAGATAGAACCATTCCTTCTGGTACCTCCCCCACAAAGGATCAAAGTTTTGAGTAACCAAAACGATTATAAAATCTGAAATATGCATTCCGTTCCCCTCAAATTACGCACATCACAATATTTTTAATAACCCAAGAGCTAGTGTGAAGATGGAACATATCGGTCCACTTCTTCTGGCACCTCCCCCACAAAGGGTCTCATAAAACGCGAAAATAACGTCAGATTTCATTTAGACTTGGCAAATCTCAATATTTTCATAAATATAAATCCTGTTATAAAGATGGTAGAGATCGGACCATTCCTTCTGGTACCTCCCCAAATAGGGTTCAAGATTTTGAAGAACAAAACCAAAGAAAGCGAAATAAGCATCCAACTCTCTTCAAATTTCACACATCCAAATATTTTTATTAACCCAATGTCTGTTGTTAAGATGATATTTATCTGCCAACCCCTTCTGGTACCTCACCCACAAAGGCTCACAATTTTCAATAATTTTATGTCATAACTTGCGAAACAAATCGGCGATTCTTTACAACATGCTACATCTAAATATTTCACTTAACCTAACCTAACCTTAAATCTGATATAAAGGATGAGATAAAAAACTGTAACAAAGACAAACGCCATAATTTTTACATTTTTTTAACTTTATTGAATGAAAGCAAAAAATGTCGTAAAAAGGCTCCAATTTTAGAATTAGTTTAGATTTATTCGAATTGGTCACCTTTGGCATGAATTATGGTCTTCAAACGGCCAATGAAACCGTCATACGCTGCCCGAATGTTGCTCTGCGGTATTTTGGCTCATTCCCAGCGAAGCGGTTTCCTGAGGTGATCGACACTTTGGTATTTTTTAGTGCCAACCTTGCTTTCTAAAATACTCCAGACATATAAAATGTAGGAAGTAGTCGATAGAATCTAAATCTGGCACGTTGTAATATTTATATCTTGGTCTTGGGTCAGATACGAAGTGAGCAATATTGTTCAACTGCTTCGGAACCTCCCCCCATAAAGGGTCGACATTTTGAATAATCATAACTCAAGGCTGGGGGTATACATCTGTCGGCCAAACCGACTGATACTATTTTACTTGTTTTTTTGATTCCTTCCCATAAATAAAAACACACAGAAAATTTTCATTTTATTTGAAATTGGTTAGTTTGTTGATTTTGGTGCTTTAATTCATCGCAAGTTTTTCTTTCTTTTTATTTTATTTATTTATTTTATTATTTGATTTTTATTTGTATTTGAAAATGTTCAATTCTCATTTACTTTCTTAACAAACAAAATCACATTTTACCAAAACTTATAAACTAGTGTAATGTTTATCTATACTTAAAAATTTATATTGTATTGTATATATATATACTTCTTTTCTTATTTTCTGGTTTATTATTTTATATATTTTAGAATGAGGGGGGAGGGGAGGGGGTTGGGTTTGTTTGGGGTCGCATGGCTTGGCAATGGAAATAATTATGTATATGTGGTATGGTTGGTATGTTATGAATTGAATGGTTGCATTGCGATTAATTTGTTTTTATGTTTGGAGTTTCCTTAAATGTGTCTATCCCTAGGCTTGACCTGATGGTTTGCTGTGTTGTTGTTTTTTTTTTGCTTTTTTTTCTCTTGTTGTTAGGATGAAACACATTGAATGTTAGGATGAAGATATTCTTTTTTTTTTTGTTTTAAACGGAATTTAAAAAATATATATATTTTTGAATTTAATTTAAAACAAAAAATAACAATTTTATTTCCCTAAAAAATATTTTTCGAAACAGAAAAAGGGACTTTTGAAATAAAAAAAATAATTTCGGTGATTTCTTATTGTTTTCTATTTCTTCTTCTTCATGTTATAAGTTATTTCTTCTTTTAGTTTTTTTTTTTAATTTAACATAAGACAAGCAGTTCATATATATATATTTAATAATTAGTATCCTTATTTGATTTGTATTCTTTGTTCTTCAAGTTTTCCTTTCTTTTGTTGTTGCAGTGGTTTGTTTTTTTGTATTCTTCTTTTTTTTCTACATTTGTTTAATACTTTTGTTACTTCATTAGTAGTAGTAGTAGTTTTTTTTTTAGATTTTCTTCTCTACAGTATTAGTAATAGTATAGAGGATGAGGAGCAGAGTTTTGTTCGTTTTTTAGTATTATTTTCCATAAATAATGAAATATTGACAAATCATTTTGAAAAAAAAAATGAGATAATTTTTGGGTGAGAATTTCCAAAACACCTATCTAAAGTACTCTAGTAGTAGTTGGGAAGCAATGGGATATGAATGAGTGGCCAATAAATTATTCAAATTCCAATCATGTGATGGATGGCTACCAAGAAAAAAGTTTTAAATAACAAAAAACTCACATGTCACACAACATGATTTTTTTTGACACTCAGTCTCCAGTTGCCCGCCATCCATTTCCATCACATGATTTCGATTCAGAGCTTAAAATGTTTTGTCAATATTTCATATTCATATATTTCTTATTCTTTTGTTCTTCTTGTGTAGTGCGCAACCAAAACAAAAAACAATATCGAAAAAAAAACAAATATTTTTTTAAAAAATAAAAAAAATGCTTTAAATAAAAAAATATTAATAATAACTAAATTTTAAAAAATACATACATATACTAAGAATTAAACTATTACACACTAAATAAAATTATAAAGAATTCAGTTTCAATATGTTTTTGTATAATAATAAATTGTAGATATAGGACATGCTTCTGATAGGACGATTTGAAGGTGCTTAAGAAAGGAAAAATACCCATATCTGGCATACATAATTTAATTAAAAAAAAAAAAAATTAAACAATCACATATTTCAAATAAGTGTTTTTCTTTTATAATCACTTTCAAATCGTCCTTACACAGAACCAGGCTCCTAGCATAAGGTATAACTATTTCACAAACAAATATTCTCTCGCTTGCAAGTTATTATTGACGCCTACTCCAAAAACAAAGTGGAAAAGAAAGAAAGAACATTATGTTATCATAAATTATATCTTTTTAGAAAATTTCAATAAATTTCTGTTCCTTTGGATTAGAATAAATAAAAACAACAAATGATATTCCCTTTTAAGAGTCTCCTTCAGACATTCCCCGTGCTATTAATTCACAATGGATTGCAGTTATTTTAGTGATGCTCATTGGGGCAGGTGTAAATAAAGAGCGAAAATCTAGAGAGAAAACGGATACGGATGAGCAGTATGGCTTAGATTTATGTCATTTCAAGAGGAAAGACAACCGGATGTGCTCTCATCTAAAGCCAAACCATTTACTCATCAGCTAGGTATGTATGTGAATTAACAGCTGATGGGGGGAGAATACATGACTTGGTCACAAACACAGAGATGAGATCATCTACATAAGTATTTGACTTGACAAAAAGCTGTCATCAATAGAACACATTAAAACTGCAGCCATATTTCATGTTCTTTCTTCCTTAATTCTGGGGGGCGTACAACATTACATTTACTTGCTATGTTTTTTCGTTAGGTTTGTGAATTTGTTTTTAAATTTGTTAATTAGTTTTTGTTTTGTTTTAGGTTCCTATTTACAGTGCATGCTTGCTTGCCGCTAGTATTGGCATTCTTTCTTTGTTTGTTTCTTGTTCGCCAGGGATTTTCTCCGCCAAAGGAGGAGAAAAAAATACGCAACTTAAGGTTTATATCAAGAGCAGGTTTCTTTTTATATGAGATTTGAACTAGCCAAGCAAATTAATAATGTTGTTGTTGTTATCTTTTCTTTTTTTTAGACATATAACTCAGTTTTTATCCACAACGCCAGTGTCTGTTGTCAACAGTTTGTATAGGCTCCGCGGGTATAGTAAAGCTGTGTTATCCGCTCCGATAACGTTGTATACAGATTATTTATTAATTCCATAGGCACGCGGGACCAGGCTTCACGTATACGAAATATCAAATCGTCTTTACGCGAAAACTTACGCCCACCATCGAACACCTCACGTATCAGCCAACCCCAAATGCCCTCCATAATGTTCAGATCGTGGGCCACTGTGGGCCATTTTTGGGTTTTTATACTTTCCGCATTGAGCCATTCCTGGACCGAGGGCAGGGCATTTGTGGTCCAATTGTGATCTTGCAAATAGAAATCGGAATTGCCACCCAATTTGGCCACAATGTTGGCACGTTCTCTCAGCACTGTTTCGACGCAGGATTCGATTTTAAATTTAGCCGTGGACACTTCCAGATGTATGGGGCCGCCAGCTGTTAACACCAAATATATGTACACTGAATTACCGCGGGGTCTTTGGGATAGGGTTTTCTCATAGTTCCGTAAGTCGTGAAAATAATAGGAAAACCCATCTGGGCCATCTAAATTAAATTTACGTTCATCTTGGAAGACCACACGTCTCCAGTGATCTTCGGTCCAGTTTATGTGGGCATTGGCAAAATTAAGACGTTCGTTTTGATGGAATTGCGAGAGGACCGGTTCCACTTTTAGCTTCTTGGCACCACTAACTGTGGAGCCACGTGAACTTGAACCGCTGGATGATGAGGAACCGCCGCTGCTATTCGAACCACTGGAGGGTGTTGTGCGGGCGCTGGCATTTGTTCCGGGTGGCGATAGGCTGGAACCTGTGGTGTGTGTGGCAGCGTGACTAGATGCCGTCCCTCCGCCAGTACTGCTGCTGGCTGCCGAAAAATTTGAATTCTGATTGAGGGCGTGCACCGGCAATGAATGCGTATAGCTGTGACTGGTGCTGTGGGCGTGTGAAGTATGAGCAGGCGCAGGCGTACTGTGTTGCTGGTAATAGGGATGATGGAAACTGGCTGTGTGCTGGTGATGATGTATTGTGGGCTGTTTCAGTTGCAGTTGCTTCAGTTGGGTTTGTGATTGGGCTAACAGGTGATGATGGGCATGGCTGTTTGTGGAGGTGATACCTGCAGCAGTGCCATTACTGCTGCTGCTAACAACAATGCTGGGCTGTGTGATACTATTGCTGGTGTTGTTGTTGCCGTTGTGGTTATGCGTACTGGTTGTTGTTGTTGCTGGTGCTGCCGCCGTTGTCAGAAATGACTGAGTCTGGGGATGGCTACGCTGATGCTGCTGCTGCTGGATATGAACCTGAGATGTTATGGTGGCTGCTGCAGCTGCTGCCGCCGCTGCTGCTGTTGTTGCCGCTGCTGCAGTAGTATAATTACCAGGATGTTTCAGGTAATATTGCAGGGCCATCAAATTGGCGTCTTCTGTATTGGAGTTGCCCAGATTCGCCACTTTGGGATCGTAGATCAGCTTCCGAAAGTTTTGAATATCGTCTGAGCTAAGCAGTAATGTTTTCATTTGGAGTTTTGGCTGAATGATGGCTGCTGCTGCTGGCGAGGTATTTCAAAATGTTGGGTTAAATGTGTAAACTAAAGCAGAGAGTTTCCAAAAATTTACACAAGGCGTGGGATGCTATTTATGGGAGATATTTCTCTCTGGTAATCCATAAAACGGGGTTATATTGGTTTTTTTTATCTTCTTCTTAGTCTTCTTCTCCTCCTCCTCGAACTTTGGCACACAGTTATCGTATGCCCAGCTGTGTGATACTGGGCAGTTTCTACCCAGTTTATGTTATGTGGATGACTTCCTTGATATTAGTTTTGCTTTTCGGAACAGCTCCTCGTGGAGTTAATGGCTAGTATTGACATGTGTTGAACAAAAAAAAAAGGAAAATTCACCAGACGCCACAGACGATGTGAATGAAGAAAGGAACATATAAATTTTGTTACGAAAATTCTGTGGCTCTTGGTCAACGATAATGTTGTTGTTGTTGCTGTTGTCCAACGCCTTCTTCCTTGACGTCTCTCACAACCACCTTGTGTGCTGTGCTTTTGTATTTTTATGGATTGATTTCGAATTTGGCAATTGCTGTGTTGTCGTCTTCTGTTGCGACAAATTTTGTTGTTGTTGATTTTGTTTTTTTGGTATTGGAAGCCGAGGCGGCGAAGAGGTGCCGAGCGGCTGGCTGGCTGGTTAGTTGCTTGGTGGTGTTCAGCAATTCACTCAATATTCAATATAAAGATTTCGTGTTGTTACGACGACAATGTGCACCCAGAGCAGCTTAGCATACACCGAGTATGGTTGTTGTTGCTTTTGTTTTGTGTCGTCGTCGTCGTCGTTTCAACTGAGTTGTATATTTCGCAAGTTTTTCTTATTATTTTTTTTTTTTTATTTTTACTTCTCTCGGAATGTTTGCTTTACGTAGTTGTGTGAACTAATGTGAAATGAAGAAAAGAAAGAAAGACAACTTTAGAAGAAGCGAAGAAATAACGAACGAATGAACCGATGAAATAGCAACGACAGCAAATCTCACAACATGCGTATGTTCATTGTGCTGACAAACTGGTTGACTGGCTGGCTGGCTGGCTAGTTGGCTTTTTGGTTGGTTGGATGGTTGGTTCGGTTGGCTGGCTGGCTTGCTTGGTAGGTTGGTTGTTAGGTTTGCTCTGTCAACTACTGACGACAACCAAACAATCTGATGGAATGACTGGCTGGCTTAGTTGGAACGAAAACAAAGCAAGCTAGCTGGCTGACTGTGTGGTGCGCGTGTTTATTTGCACGCACTTTCACAACGATTAACTACTTGATTTCTGCGGCCACCGCTGCAATGCTGCAAAATGACGTCGTTGTCGTTCTTCTCCCTTGGCTGCTGCTTTTGTTATCAATGGACTCGTTCGTTGTTTCGTGTCTCTGCCTTATTCCATTCTCTTTATGGAAACCACAAAATCACTGCAATGCTCTTGTATAGAGAGACTCTGTTTACCTTTTGCTTGCTTCTTTCCTTTGTTGGCTCTGTGGCTGGCTGGTTCTCATCAAAGTAATCAGCTGACACAAACTTGTGAAAGAGATGATCTCCTTTTTATTTGCTCTCTATCTCTCCCTTATGGGTGTCAGCTCTTTGTTAAGCCTGACGACGACGATGATGATGATATTAGTCTTCGTTGTCAGTGGTGTTTGTTTTGCTGTTGTTGTTGTTATTGTTGTAGTATATTTTTGTTGTTTTGTGTGTTTCAACTTCAGTTGCTGAACCTTGCTGCAGTTTATTTATAGTATGTGATATTTCCCTGTTCTTCGTGGTTGCTGACTGTTGTTCCCTTGGTCGTCCGTCGTCTTCGTGTTCGTCGTATTATTGCTTACCTAAAATGAATATAAAAATACGGAAAAATCAATGATGTGCACAAGATTGTGTGTATGTCTGTCTCTGCATTCGTTCGTCCGTCCGTCCGTCCGTCCGTTCTTCCATCTGTTTTTGTCTGGCGTTTTACTTTGCGTTATTCTGGGGATTTTTGTTGTTTTTGTTTGTTTTCTCTTTTATATATGTATGTGTGTGTATGTGTAAAAATAGGGTGAGAAATCGCAGTACTTGATAATTTTTTCCCATAACCACCATTGTCGTCATCTTCCACTACATTTTAAGATGTGAAAGTCGAAAGGATTCTTTCCCTAAAATTTGATACCCAAAAACAAAAACCAAAAAAAATTGAATTTTGGCCAGGTGCTTAATGTTTTCGTTATTTTCAAACAAATTTTGTGTATGCAGGCAGGCAGTCAGGCAGCGACGATGTTACACACATGTGTTGATTAGGGGTCATTGAATACATAAATATCTTGTTTCTTTTAATAAAATTAAATTAAATTCTTTGCTTTAATAATTTCCTGATTGTTCATCGTATGTACATAATTTCGAAGAATCTTTGTCCTGTTTGCAAAAATAATTGTGTAGCTATGTGGTTTGTTACGAGCATATATTTCAATGGTGAGACATGAATGGAAGGGATTAGTCTTGGAAAAGGGAATTAAACATTTTATTCTGCTACCTAACAATACGAGACAAGTTCTGTTGCCGATCTGGAATAAGGGAATATGGATTGGAATTTATACAATTCATACACTTTTGGCTTCATATTTCGTCAGGTATCCTTAATGGTTACGTATGGCAAATGACAATAATTAGCTTATAGTAACCTATATTATTACAATAGAAAGTCTAAATTTACATTAGCATGTTTAACTGTGACAAATCTGTTTGTAAGGGAAGGTGGTTAGGGGAATGGGAAGCGGACTTGTCTGATCTAAATCTGGACTATATTATTTATCAGTTCCATGTTCCTCCAACGGTACCATTATTATTGGAATTTCATTTGAACCACCCGGCAATATAGTATAGGGTATTATAGGCTGATTATTTCATGCCTCCACAATCATATTTTTATCATCCTGCAAATTATGGTCTTGCGGCATACTGAAGTTCCTGCGGGAACGTACTGTAATATTTGATCAATCACAATAGATTTAATGTATGTTTTTATAGTAAAATTTATTGTTACTTTTTACTTATAACGCCTAAACCGAATAATATTACATGTGTATACAAAATCGGGTTAACTACATAATTTTCTATAGAAATACCATGGTAAAAGAATGCAGCTCGATGCATCAACGTTTGGGAAAATTAAATTTTTTTAAAATGTTTTGTCAAAAATATGTTGATTTTTATACGTTTTCTTATACGAGGCAAATCGGAGGTTGTTATGATATGCGTTTTTCAAAAATGTCTACAAATCTCAATAATTTTTCATTTCACATTTTCAATTCCAAAATCGGTTTGACAGTTCATTGACCCAGCTGCTGTGTCGATGCGGCTACCTGTAATCTTCTACCATGAGAAATACCAAACAACGTTCGAAAATACAACATTCCGAATTCATATCTTCCTTTTTCAAAACTTTAGAATTCTTTTTCACGAAATTTAATCTTACTTTTACCCTAATTTAAAATCGCTCTCGTGAAAATTGACAAAATTAGCATTAAAATGAACACGACCAAAGTCGATCTATAATAACCTACCCTTTAATGGGGGAAGCATTGTGGAAACAAATATAGGAATTTTCAAGCTTAGGTTAGACTGTAAAAAGATCTTTTGTTGTTGCAAAATGGTCAGGCTTTATCCCTTTATTGTTGTTTTTATAAAAAACAACGTTTGTTTATAAAAACAACAATAAAGGGATAAGGCCTGACCATTTTGCAACAACAAAATATCTGTATGCAAATGTTCAAACATTTAAAAATTGATATCTCCCAAATTCGTTAACAATTTCTTTCACGAAATGTAATCTTTTCTTTCCCGATAATTTAATTTTCATTCTTGCAAATCTTCCTTAATTTGAAATGTATGTTAGAACTAAGTGGAAAAGAGGCAGATTTTAAGAAAATATCTTCTTTAAATGCTGTTAAAATCTACTAAAATACCTCAAATGCAATCCATAATGGCTGTAAATGAAAAAGACAAAAGTCGATCTAAAATACCCTACCCATTTAGAGGAAGGAATTGTGGAACCAAATAAGGGATTTTTTGAGCAAGTTTTATTGAATAAATCTAAACTTATTGTAAGCAATCTAAACATGGCATCCATAAATTCAGGGAAAGTCGAATTTTCGAACCAAAAAATTAGGTAGTCGCATATAAATGTATAATTAATAACTTTTTTAAGATAGGGAAATAAATATAAAAGTTTTAAAGATTTGTATGTAAAAGTTCTTTAAGAACATGAAAGCTTTTAAGAAATCCATCTCCCGTTTCCAAATTATTTAAAATTCCTTTCACGAAATGTAATCATTTCTTTACCCATAATTAAATTTTTCTTACGTGCAAATCTACCTTAATTTGAAATGTATATTAAAATTAAGTAGAAAAGAGAAGAAAATATCTTAGAATACAATTAAATGATGTTAAAGTTGACAAAAATACCTCAAATGCAATCCATAATGTCTGTAAATGAAAAAGACAAAAGTCGATCTAAAATGCCCTATCCATTCAGAGCAAGGAATTGTGGAAACATATAAGGGATTTTTAAGCATATGTTATGAAATACATATAAACTTATTGTAAGACCACGGAGCTTCATTAGGCAATCTAAACATAGCGTCCATCAATTCAGGTAAAATAGAACCAACCAAAAAACCAAAAAAAGGTAGTGACATCAGTAACAAGTTTCTACAAAAAACATTTATAAGTAAACCTTAACCTAACTTTCTATATAATTTTTTAACATAATTATATTCATTATGTTTTCAATTATGTTTTTTTTACAAAATTAAATATTTGTTCTCAATTTTCAAAAATATTATTATTATTATTTTTTTTTTTTTTTTTTTTTTGGATGACAACAAATTATTTTGACATTTCGTGGTACTAACAACTGATACATCAGTACCTACAAGTCACGAAAGAATGTACCTATAACAAACGATCTACCCTATTACATTAGTCATAACAAAAAATGTCTTCTTTATCACTGGATAAGAAAAAAACTAGTTCCGAAATGTTTCTCTTATTAAAGAAGTTATTTGCAGTCTTTCCATACTGGGAATGAAACGATGACTAATACGATAGTCTATACGAAACACGACAAAACCTTTTAAAGTCTTTTTTAGAAAATGTATTCTCTATCTCTAAAATTCCTATTCATGAAATAATGGAAAGAATCCGAAAATAACTAATATATGATACGAACTTATTGTTGTTTCTTTGGAAAACTACTGCATGTAAACTACCGAGTTGTGTACAATATTTGCAAAATCATGGTGATATACGAACACACACACACATGTAAGTTAGGTTTCAATGTGTTGCGTCTTTTTGTAATTGGCAAATAAATGAGGGATGAGATGTGCACCTGACCCCCTCTCCTCATAGCTAAAAATGCAAGCGCATAATGCATCGAGACTTGTGTATGTAATATTCTGGCCATATCATTACTTTTTGCCATCGTCCTCCTCTATTTTAATGAATTTAATAAAAACATATGTTAACTTTTCTCTATATATATATGCATAACAATAGATGTCGGTGTGTGAAAGTTCGTGTGTGTGTGTGGCTTTTAATTCCAGGCTTGACCAATCCTCTGTGTGTTGTCTTTTGTGCTTGTGTATCCCCGCAGCATTTTATATACATATGTATGTACATATACATATGTCTATGTAATCTAAAAATTAAGAAAGTCCGAGGATGCGTTTTTATATTTTGAAATTCGTATGTATAATTGTTTGTCATGGCAGCCCTCCCTCCATTGCTTTCTAAATTTAAGGCAGCATCCTTGCTGTGTAAGCTTATACATAGAATTACGTCGAAGGTAACTATGTGATATTAATTTTTATTAAATTGAAGTATTTTATTTATGTAAGCGTTGTAAAAAGTTACAGTAAGTCTTAAAGAATACTATTTTTATCTCTTAAAAAAGTTTTCATGTGAATGGCAAAGGAAGTAAATCGGTCAATGTGTGGCCGATTGGTTTAAAATGTTATTCCTATATGCAAGAAATCCTAAAAAGATATCTCAAATATTTTACAACAGTTTTTTGAAGGATGAGATAAGCTTTTCATTTCAGACTTCCTGAAAAACACCACTCTTTTTATGAACTGAAGTATAAATACTGTCTTTTACCGTTTTCGTCGAAGAATTCGATGAAAACTTTGCAATAACTGAAAAAAAGCGTCACAGTTGTAAAGTGCCGTTTTGGCTGGGCAACTTGATATGTGGCCAGCCTACTTTAGAAATTGTTTGATGAAGCGGAACGCTTTTTACTAAGGCTTGCCTTAAGTGTTGTCTACCCCAAAATTCAAGCCACACTCTAAGTTAACTTTTAAAGCTACATGGCCACTCATCAAATTATATAAAATATTGTAAAAAAAACAATAATTATTTGGGAAGTTCACAAAACCAAAATTATGTCCAAAATCAAAAAATTAAGGACAAATTTTTTATGTCCTGGTCTAAAGTCTGTTCTACACCATTACCTAAATTTTACGTTTGGCATATATTAAAGAAAATAAATTGGCAATCTAAATAATGAAAACATTTTCTAGTGTAAATAAATTTTAAGCTTTCCGTGTTGTTAGAGACTTCACAGTACATAACTACCTAAAAAGTTTGTCCGTTAACCATTCTCCGTGAATGTGTTTTCTCTGGAAGTTTGTGCGTGTGTGTGTGTACATAAATACAAAGCATCCTTCCTCCTTACTATAAAAATTGCTTGCTGGGAATAGTATATAATACTACTACCCATATACAATGAGCTTTATATACACATAGATGATTTGGAATGCACATAATGATTCGGGCAGAATAATAACAACAACTGCGCTATATAGAAAAACACAAATTAAAATGGTGTGTGTATGTTAGCCACACAGCAATCTCATCTCTGGTTGGTGAGTGACCGTGTGTGTGTGCTGCTTGGTATGTTACAAAAAAGGACATGCAAAAAATCAATTTTGATTATACATAGCCAAATCCGAACAAAATACCAGGCTATGATTCCATTGTGCATCCAAACTTTTGACCGTTGTTCAGTTGTTTACGTACGTCAGACAGACAGGCAAACTGTCTGAACTGAACTAAAAAAAACAAACATTTCTGTCGACTGGTGTTGTGTGGATACATACACTTGCTGCAGTATGTGTGTGTGTGTCTTGTGTGCCGAGTAATCGAATGACTGCAGCACCACAGAGAAGAACAAGCACAAAGGCGACCCAACAAAACACACACAACAAGGAGGAGGAGATGGCAAGGAAAAAATGCAAGCAGGCAATTTGTTGTTGTCTTTGCCTTCTTCTCTCGGTCGTCGTCGTCGTCGTAGTCTTCGTGTGTAATGTAATCAATACAAATATTCAGTTCCTAAAAATATAGATTTTTTTAACTTCGTTTCACAAATTGAATCATTCACAATCGTATGCGGGGCAGCGACCGTTTTTGTCGTCGTTCTATTCCGTACAATCGAGTGTGGCAAACGACGGACGAACTTCTTTCTTTTTTAGGTTTCTCGCTTCTGGCGACGTCGTCGTTGGCCGTTGTCGTCGACGCAACCGTTAAACACTCACACACACACTTTCAGAGAAAAATAAATGCCGTTTGGACATTTAGTGGGGTGATGATGATGATTATTATTTTTTCTCGCATTTTACAATGAAGCAAACATAGATTTTTTCGACATGTCCGACATACATACAAATATTCTACATCGAAAAAAAAACAAGCAACCTTATGATGCCAAACGTCGTCGTCGTTATTGCTGGCGATTATAGCATTTCAAAGTTGAAAAAAAAAACGATCACTACACATACACACACTGAGAAATTTTCTCGATAATTTTTCATATTCCAAAAAACTTTTTTTTTCTTCACCAATTTCCGTACAATTTTTACACTAAATTCTCTTTGGTTTAATTTGCTAAATGGCATTTATGTGGTGGCTTGCATTTCATAAGCATTTATTTTTCCTTTTTTCTTGTTTCATATGTACATTCTTTTGTGAAATTTAATCTTGTCTTGAAAACGTTTCATTTTTTCTTTGATTACGCCATTTTGAGTTGTTCGTCGAGTCAGTTGATGTTAATCGTAGTCGTTGTCGTAAAACGTGTTTTGTTTTTAATTATTACTTTTTTTTGCTGTGTGGAATTTATTGGCCCGATCCTTTTTTCCGTTTACTGCATATTCCGTCCGTTAGATGCGCGTTAATTAAATTTACAGGATATGCTTCTTGCTGGTGCAGCGGCCGTATTTTTTTCTCATAACCAACGAACTGAAATATATATTTTTTAATAAAATATCACGAACGAACGACAGGGAATAGGGCGAGACCAGAGAACAAAGTCGCTTGTGTTTTGTTGGTAATGACGGCTGGGCAAGATTCGTTTGCATTGCGTTATCGATAGTTGCGTGTTCGATTGTTGGTCTTTTTATCGTAAGGTGGTGTGGCAACACATTGAATTCGCATGTCATATGATTAGGAGCGTAGTTTTTTCAATTAATATGAACAAAGGATAGGTAATATGAAAGCAATAATTCAAAAAAAAGAAATTGTTCCGTTTGCTAGTGTTAAAGATGACGCAACGTGAAATTTTAGATTGTCACTTCCGTTGAGGGTATATAAATAAATGAAACATTGTACTGAAATTAATATAAGCAGACATTTCACTTGGAAGAAGAATACAGGTAGTCGCATCGACAGAGCTGCTGGGACAATGAGCTTTCAAAGCTATTTTTGAATCGAAATTTTTGAATAAAAAATTATTCAAATATGTTAAAATTGTCACAAACAAGTAAAAAAGCTGTAAGTTCGGCCGGGCCGAACTTTGAATACCCTCCAACATTTGGAACGAATTTGGCAATTTCAAAAAAAAAAAAAAAATAAAATCCGTTAAAAATTTTGATAAAATCGTAAAAATACCAAATGTAGCCTTCAAATTAGAGTCTTAACAACGACATGGACCTGCATAGGCAATTTTTGCCAAAAGCCATTAAAATATTTAAATGCGAAACTTGAAAACAAAAATGGGTGAATAATGTAGCTAAAATCATTAATATAGGGAGGTACTATTATATGGGGGCTATACCAAAATGTGGAACTGCACAGACAATTTTCTGCCTAAGGCTGCAGTGTCCATTACGAACTTCAGATACCAAATTTGAAACAATTCCGATGAATAATATCGCTAAAACCATCAAAATACCGAATATCGGCAGGTAACGTTATAAGGGGGCTATACGAAGACGTGGATCTGCACAAACAATTTTCTGTCATAGGTTGTAGTGTTCATTACGAACGTCAAATACCAAATTTGAAACAATTCCCGTGATTAATGTCGCTAATATCATCGAAATACCGAATATCGCGAGGTACCGTTATATGGGGGCTATGCGAAGATGTGGACCTGTCTTATGCTGTAGTATCCATTATGAACTTTAAACACCAAATTTGAAACAATTCCGGTGAATAGTGTGCTAAAACCATCAAAATCAACCAATCCGCTTCCATTTTTGATTCTCCTGAGAGCATCCCCATACAGGATACTAAGGGAATTCATCGGAATGAAGCCCTACTAATAAATGAACGCCAAATTTGGTAAAATTAAATATGTATGTATTTATATTATGCATGGCATATAAAATGCCCACTCAAAATTTCCAATACTACAGGCTTAGTGAAAGAAGAAGGAGTATTACATTAAACTAATCCGTAGGATTTTGTATGACAATCAAAATAAAGTCCTTATCGGGTGCAACCATAATTTCATGCTTCTTTGAACGAACTCGGAGAAAGGTCATGTCATTGGAGGGATCCAAATCACGTACCACACTACGGGCTTTATCGGCCAGTTGGCTCATTAGGCCGGCATATTGGACAGTGGTGGTATTGTCCAAGGTGGATTTGACGGGAATGCCTATAAATCACAAAAAATTTACAATTTATTATAAAATATTAATTTCTATTTATTAAAATAAATACATAAAGAAATATCCATAACACATCCATAATGGGTTACTATGGTATTAGTCATAAGCCAGAATAGGCAGCAAACTTCGTTTTGTTACCAACAACAAATAATATGCAAAAACACGAAAAAGTACAAACCCACCTTCATTGTTGACCACAATTGTTCCCACAACACCTTTGTGTGCCTGTATGCGTTTCAAAGTTTCCTCCACCTCTTGGGACTGGAAAAAATTGTTATTTATTAAATTTTGTTTTTGAAATCTTTTCACTTTATTTTTATACCATTTTTATTTTATTTGCAGTGGAAAAAACTAACTAAACAAAAATGTTTTGCAAAGGGGTGTCAAGAGCAAACAGCTGTCGTCATCAGTTATCGATAAGAGAACATCAATCGATATCGTTGCTATGGCAACAACTCCATGGAAATGCGTTCCAGTTGAAAAAAATAAAAGGCGTTTACACAGCTATATTTAAGTATATGTCAACATGCCGTTATTATCATTTATGATGAAATACAGCACCAAATAATAAGTTATATTCATGGTAGAAGAATTAAGTAGACACATCGACACAGATGCTGGGACAATGAACTGTCAAACCAATTTTGGAAATAAAGATGTTGAATGAAAAATTATTTAAATTTTTAAAAATTGTTGAAAAAATAAAAATTGTGTATTCGCACCTAGAACAAAATCAAAACAACATATTCTCTCCCGCTCAACAACAAAACTAAAACAAGAAGTCGTTCCCAGCCGCTCAATTTTATGTATTAAATGATGGAGTTTGATTGATGTTTGATTTTCATAAGAAATTTCCAAAATATTTTAATATCAAATACTTTTATAAAATTCAGGTATATATTTTTCATACTAATATTTAAAATATATGGTTTCTTAAGGTGAAAAATGCCTAGAAAAACACTTTGTACCTGGAAGAATTTTTTGGCACATACCCTCCACCGCCCGTCCGTCTGTCTGTCTGAGCAAATCACTCTAGCTTCCGAACGAAATGAAGTAGATTGATAAAATTTTACTTAAAGGTATATTATGTCTGCAGGAGTTATTGAAAATGCACCATGTGGGTCTCGTCTTGGTATAGCCTCCATATAACGGTACCTCGCGATATTCGGTATTTTGATGATTTTAGCGACATTATTTACCGGAATTGCTTCAAATTTGGTATTTGAAGTTCGTAATGGATACTGCAGCCTATGACAAGAGATTGTCTGTGCAGTTGCACGTCTTCGTATAGCCCCGATATTCGGTATTTTGATGATTTCAACGACATTATTCACCGGAATTGTTTCAGTTTTGGTATTTGAAGTTCGTAATAGTTACTGCAGCCTACGACAGAAAATTGTCTGTGCAGTTGCACGTCTTCGTATAGCCCCCATATAACGGTATCTCCCGATATTTCGCACTTTGTAGATTTTAGTGACATTATTCGCCTGAATTGTTTCAAATTTGGTATTTGAAGTTCGTAATGGATATTACAGCCTGTGACAGAAGATTGTCTGTGCAGGTCCAGGTCTTCGTATAGCCCCCCTATAACGGTAGCTCCCCGGTATTCGGTATTTTGATGATTTTAGCGACATTATTCACCGGAATTGTTGCAGGTCAACATTTTGGTATAGCCCCCATAAATAGTATCTCCCTATATTAATGATTTTAGCTACATTATTCACCGAGTTTTTTTTCAAGCTCCGCATTTGAATATTGTAATGGCTTATGACAAAAGTTGCCTATGCAGATCCACGTCGTCGTTTAGACCCTAATATAACGGCTACATATGGTACTTTTAAGATTTTAACAGAATTTTTAAGTTGGGCACGGCAAAACTTACAGCTTTTTTACTTATTGTTGATAGGGTTTTCAGTGCGAGGTGCATATTAGGAAATTCTTTCAATTTATTTTTTCACAGTTTTCGTTCATATGTGTTCAGTGGATAAAACGTTTGATTGCGGACCTTATATTTTACAAAGTTTCCAACTTCCCCAAAAAATATACCAATTTTGGTATAATTCTACCAATTGTGTGGACAACAAAGTGGAACGATTTTTTTTTTTTTTGGCGGCGCCTTATTGTTTCCCCACCAATTGACGGCGGCGCGCTGATGTTTTACAATCGACTCTGCAAGTGTGGCAGTCAACTGTCGCAGTCAACTTCATGTTCAGTCAAAAAAAACATACAACTCGGAGAAAAAGATTATAAACACCGCCGCAAATACAAATAAAATTGTGTGTTAAAATTGAAATTACAATAAAAAAGCTTCCAAAAAGGTTGATATTTGTTTTATAGCAAAAACAAACGTGAATACTACAACAAATATTTGTATTGAAAATTGTTGTTTTTTTGTTTTTGTACAAAATATATAGAAAATTTCATGTTTGCATTCTCAACTTCAGTAAAACGGAGACGACGACACGAGAGAGTTAAGAAAACAAAAATTTGTATTTGAATTGCAAAAAAAGTGAAAAGTGAAAAGTTTTGTGTATAAATTATTAGTTGGAAAGTATCTTGGCAGGTGCAAAATAATAAGAAGAAGCAGCAAAAGGGAAATACTCTTGAAAAGCCAGTACCGCCAGCCAGGTACCACAGGCATATTCTCCAAGTAAGCTCCATCAACATCATCATAATCATCATCATTAAGCTATTTGGCTGATAATGAACACAAGAAAATTGTTAACAATCCAATACATACATACATGCATATGGACAACGTTTTTTTTTTTTTGTACATACATATGGCAAAAAAAATCTTGAATGTGCTTGGTTATTTATGGACCGTTTGTTCCCAATTTTGGGAAAATGAGTTTAAGCTTCATTCATAAAAAGCGGGGAGTGACGACGGCAATGACGACGACTCCACTCCCACTCCATTTCTTACAAAACCACCAACTACAACAAGAACAACAATAATAACAACCATTAACAAGCCAGCCGCTCGCTCTCTGCGTCGGCGGGTAGTAGTGGTGTTGCGCAGCAATTTCATCTGCTTGACTCCCTCCTCCTCCTTCTGTCGCCCTACCTACCCACCTAACTTGTTTGTTGCTGCCCGCGCCCTACGATGTTGTTGTGATAAAAAGCAGCAAAACAATTGAGGTGATTTGTAGAGGAGCCCAGAGGAGCCAACTGTATGCAGTCAAGTCAAGCCAGTCTTCGTTTTCCTTTGTGCATTTTCACTGGATTCCTCGGCCCATGGATGGTGTAGTTATTATTATTATAAGTCTGTCATAGTCTAAATAGATTTTGCAAAAAGAGGAGGAATGTCCAAAAAATATGGGATATAAAAAGAAAATGAAATCATTAATCTGATGGATAAAAAAACACACACACAAAGCAAGAAGCGTTGAGAAGTAAGGTGCTGCTGCTACTACTACCAGTCAGTACTGGTGTATATTCCTGTTGTTGTTGTTGGTATAGCTAAACAAACATGCATAGGCATTTAATTTATATTTCAAAGCAAAAAACAAAAGTGGTTAGGTGGTGGGTGGCTGGTTGGAGAAGGGGACGTAAGACAAATTGAGTATAGGCATGTGTGTTGAACGGGGATGGTGTTGGCTTCGCCTGGTATCTCCTCTCGCCGCTATGTGAAAAGTAAATAGATCTGTGACATACCTATCTACCTATTTACCTTATCACAAGCATCTTATCTTGTGGCTGCAATAATAATGATCATGGGACGATAATAATAACTTCTTTGAAAATCTTCATCAAAAACTACAAATTGAAAGTTCTAAAAATCAGAAAATTTCCCCATCCCGTGCTTTTTTTCTTTTTCTTCTTCTACTTGTAATACAAACCCATCCCAGTTTTACTACTTTGGCCCCATTATTTTATTTTCTATGCGATGCCATGTGGGTATGTATTTGTGTGTGTAACCATCCTGTAGAGTAAACTAGATGAACATTGTCCTTTCTTTTCTGAATTGGCTCCCATTGACTTGTGAATGTATTTTTTGCAAATGAAAAGAGGCCAGCAAGTCTGCAAAATGAAACTAATGGTATGGGGAGCCATCGCAATGGAGCCAAGAGTGCGAAGGCAGCATATGGTAAAATGTCTTTTTCGAAGAAAATAATAGATTTTTGTTTTTAAAATTTTATTTTATTTCATTTAAGATTCAAGTTTTCAAGCAAAAGAAAAATGAGGTCAAATGAAGTTGGGCAGCCAGGACTTGTTTGTTACCCGTCCTATGCCTAAAAGTATGCAATATTATCTTGAATTTGTATTTGAAACTGTAAAATCTACATATTGCCCTTAATTTTAGATTGAAAGCAACTAGAATTGGTTTAGACTTTTGAAGACCCGGCGAAGAAAATTCAAGAAACTTAGAGTTTATTTCACACAATACTTTTCTGAAGTCTGATGACAGGTTCAAATTTTCAAGCAAAGGCACAATGGGGTCAAACGAAGTTGGGTAGCCAGTGCTTGTTTGTTTACCGTCCTATGCCTAAAAGTATGCAATATTGTATATGTATTGGAAATGGTAAAATCTACATATTTTCCTTATTATTAGATTGAAAGCAATTAAACTTAGTCTGGGCTTTTGAAGACGTATTGATGCTAGACCCGGCTAAGATGCTTCAACGAAATTTAGAATTCAAGAAATATAGAGTTCATTTTACACAATACTTTTGTGACGTCTGAATATAGGACATACAAAGAAAAAAATCACTTTTTTTTTAAAAAAGGTGTGTAAGGGGACAGTATGCCTAAAAGAGTGCAATGTTGTTTTTATTCGGATTTAATATTTTCTAAATCTACATTTCTGTAATTTAAGATTTAAAACTATTCAACTTGGTCTGGGCTTTTGAATACCTTCCTCACAATAGCAACATTTAAGATTGAACTTAAAATCTTTTCTGAATATAGAAAATACAAAGAAGAAAAATCCAAATGTGGTGAGGAAGAAATTCTTATTTTCTAAAAATATATATTTTAAATATAGGCCACATAACCACGGTAATAAAAGCTGGGACAACTATTCTTTTCAAAGAAAGCCTAAAAGTATACTATAAATACTTTGTAAACAGATGCTAAAAATATCTTCAAATTTGGGGCACATCGAGAAGAAAAAGGAGTCACCTTGGAGAATGGGTAGTCCTATTTTTATCTCTATACTTGTACCAAGTATATTTCTCACCATTTTTAGACTCTGCCTATTGCCGACAGAGGGACATTGTAATTTTGATAAGGGGGTCGCCAATTAAAACACAGAGAACTTTTCAAAACTTGAATCAATGGACCATAACATCCCGATAAGAGTAACATTCAAAAATCCACAATTTCTGGAGTGAGGGTCACAGAAATTAATCCTCAATTGTTGGTCTGAGGACCCAGCACCAAAACAATTTTGCACGAGGAAGTATTTTATTATCTGCACCTAAAAATAAACCATAGATGCTAAAAATAGCGTCTTAATATTTGGGACACGTCAAGAAGAAATAGAGTGTGAATGTGAATTTGAAGCCTTGGGGTTTGTAATGCTATTTTGTTTTTGTGGGCCTCAGGACCCAGCACCAAAACAATTTTTCTTGAGGAGGTATTTTAAATCAAGAAGAAATAGGAACCACTTTGGAGAATGGGTAGATAGAGAGTAAATTGAAGCCTTGAGGTATTCCATTCTATTTGTATCTCCCTGCTTGCTAAATGTATATTTCCCACTATTTTTAGAATCAATGGTTATGTGGAGATAAGAAATTTTAATTTCTTTAAGGGGTTGGCAATGATTACATCTTTTTAAACCTGATCAAATTTAGAATAATTTTGCAACAAGGACTGTTGGTATGAAGGTCACTGAAAAAATACTGTTCAAAAATCCTTGAAAGCTACCAAGAGGGTCACTAAAAAAAATACTCTTTAAAAATCCTCGACTGATTGTTTTTCGGTCATTCAAAAATAAGCATTTTAAACTATGATTGTTGGTCCGAGGGTCACTGAAAAAAATATTATTTAAAAACCTCGATGACTGGTACGAGGGTCATTGAAAATAATACTCTTTAAGAATTCTTGACTGCTGACCTGAGGAACACTGGAAAAATACCCTTTAAAAATTCTTGACTGCTGGTCTAAGGATCACTCAGAAATAAACCTTTTTAAACACGATTTTTGGTTCGAGGGTCACTGAAAGAATACTCTTTTAAAATCTGGCCTGAGGAACACTGAAAAAATATTCTTGAAGAATTCTAATACGTTTTTGTTTCGGTGGTCACTGAAAAAACAGTCTTTAAAAGTCCACGATTGTTGGTCCGAGGGTCACAAAAATTATTCTTCAAAAGAAAACGATAGAGAGAGAGAGAGATTTCTGAAAAATAAACCCTTTTAATCTACAATTGTTGGTCATAAGGTTCCCGTACCAAAACATATATCTGAGAACTAAAAATTTGCAAAAGTATTCTTCTTTCCCTTAGAGTACTATATGAGCCTGGTCACCATAAGTATCTAACTGACCAGCTATTTGCATTTAATGTAGCTTACTCCATTTCGTTCTTTTTTTTAAAGAGAATATCTAACGTAACACCTAGCCTCCTTTCATTTACAAATGCATACACACACACAGACACTCGGAATGCATATACATGAAGATATTTTCAGCTGCATATGTATGTGCTTTTTTGTAATATTGTTAGCTTCCTGCTGCATGTACACCGGTCGCTTTGTTTTTTTTGGCACTGATGTAAGCTGACGTCAGTAAGCCTTTTTGGGCAAGTTAACTGGGTTGTTCATAATGCTTGCTTGCGCTTCTTTTTTTTTTCCTGGTTTCTTTGGTAAATTATAAAATTATGTAAATTGTTGTTTGATGGTTGGTTGGGAAGATGCAAGAATAGGCGCTAATTGAAAGCCTAAAAGTAGGCAACGTATTTCAAAATGCAATTTACTTTAACTTTTATTTAAGGCTATTGAAAAGATGAGGGACGTTGAGGTGGAATTCCCCTACAATTAAGGTGGGAAAAAATTGGTCTGGCAATGAAGATGAGACATTTTGAGCACTGCGATAAAAATATTGATCGTTTCTTAATAATATTATTAATTAATTTTTTTATAGAAAAAAAAATGTCTAGTTTAGAGTTATTTTTGAAAAATATTTTAATTCCCAATGGATACTTCAATGGTGAGCTGTTAAAGAATTCTCTGAGCATCCCTGAAGAAAGCAGATCTTTGAGATTTCGTTACAATTAACCTGAGAAATATGGTCATAACTGCGGTAAAAATATTGATACTCTTTTAATAGTATTATTAAATTGAAATATTATTTTTATTGAAAGAAAAACTGTCAGGTTCAATCCCCAATGGTTGCTTGAATTGTGATAGATTTCTGTAAACATCCAGGAGAAAAAACTTTTGGAAAACCAAAAAAATTGCGAAATATAAATTTTTTTAAGCCTCAGTTTGATATTTTGTAATCAGAGTCTAATACAGAGTGAGATGAAAAAACTGCAACCAACTTTAGATTGCTGTCATTTCTAACTCGTCCACTCGTCCGACAGCTGTTAAAATTATTCCAGTGACAGCTCATTATATTGTTTACAAGCATACAAAAGCATTTTGTTGAGAATTTTACAGAAAAAAAGTTATTAGCGATGGAATTCAAGCGTGATAGTGTGATTTCTT